GGTGTGTCTTGCAGAAGATTAAGGGGCCTCAGTCCCTTCCACTTTCTCTTCTGCTCTCTGACTGTGGTGAGGTGAGCAGCTTCTGTTCCATATACTGTCCACCTGTCTTTAGGTACTTTTCTCTCATTGCTGAGACAAAATACCTGAAAAAGTTAAAGGAGGAAAGGTCTGTCTAGTTCACAGTTTGTGGAGGTTTCAGTCCATCATTGGCTGGCTCCAAGGCAGGGTGGCACACGGCAGAGGGGCAACTGTTCCTGGCCGCAGAAGACAGCAAGAGCAACCAGGGGGAAGACAAGACTCCTTCGTTCCTTATTTTGTATGCAGTGTACCCACCCTAGGCAGGTGTAGCACTCACAACCTTAAGCCCAGCATTGGACCAACACAAACTCTGGATTCAGCCACCTCTGAAAAGCCCACCCCCCATGACTGCATGAGGCTTTGGGGGGACATCTAGGCAAAACCATAACACCACCGTAATGCACTGCCTCACCAAAGGCCCAAAGGCAATGTTGACAAGTGGTTATGGATTTAAACTTCCTAAAGTCTGACCAAAGTAGATTTTTCTTATTTTAATACCAGATTATGCCAGGTGTTTTTTACAGTAATGGCTGAATAACATGTGTATGTATCCAGACGAAGTGGAATTAGTATTCTGAAGGGACATTGTCACTCTCATGTTTATAGAAGCTCTGCTTACAAAGGCTAAAAAGAGAATCAGTCTTAGTGTCTATCAATACATGAATAAATAAACATTACATATATATACACAGTGGAGTGCTGTGCTCCCATAGAAATTGTAATCCTAACATTTGTGACATCATTGAAGCCAAGCACACCCATAAAAATACTGCTTGACCTTACTTATGCATAGAATTCAAAAGAGTTGATCTCAAGCTGGGCCTGGTGGTGCACCACTGTAGTTCCACTACTCAGGAGGTGGAGACAGGAGGATCACTGTGAGTTTGAGGACAGCCTGGGCTAAACAAAGAGTTCATAATCAACCTAAATTATATAGCAAGACTCTGTCTAGAAAAGCAACAATAGGAAAATTGGATTAATTGAACTTGAGAGTCAAATCATTTTTACCAATGTCTGAGGAACACAGGGGGGACGAGGGGTGAATGGGGAAAGGCTGATCAATGGGTAGTAAGTTATGTTTCGATAGGAGAAAGCAGTTCTGGTGTTTAGATTATAGATAAGACTAATGTATTTTTTTAAAAAGAACTATGGGAAAAGATTTTGAATGCTCTCATCTCAAAAAATGATGTATTTAATGAGCTAGATATGTTAGCCTGATTTGGACACTACACTATGTATTAAACAGCCTGTTATTCCATAAATGTATTTAATTATTATGTGTCAATTAAAAGAGCTAATAGTTAATGCTTAATTTTTATGACCAATTTTACATGCTTATATCTAGTAATCTGAACAACTACTTTGAAGATAACAGAATGCAATATAACAACCATTGCTGATTTCCTATCATCTTGTTTTGAAATTCTGTAACATTTTTAATGTTTTTTACTTATTTTCCATTCTCTTTAATATAAAAAAAAACTTCAAAGAAGATTACTTTGCTGCATTTGGGGGTGAATGTGTGTGTGTGTGTGTGTGTGTGTGTGTGCGTGAGTGCACATAAAGACGTGACTGTAAGTAAAAATGCATTCATATGGGGGCATAAAATAAATATGTGTGGCAGGTTGGTTGATTTTATTTTGAGATTTCCTTCCTATATTTTCTGAAAAGTTTCATGATACATAATTATAGTCTTAATAAAAAATAAGTAAAACAGTATCAACAACTTTAATAAGTGCTATGTCTAAGGAAAAACATATTAGGAAGGGCGCCTAATCTAGACTGAAAGACAATCGCTACCTAGAGAAGGTGAAAGAGGGCTTCAGTGTTGATGGGCAAGAAGTTCAGTCAGAACAAGAAATGAATGGATTTTGTGAATCACAGGTAGACCATTTATAAGGATGGGTTTGTAAAGTAGAAGTGGGTCAGGGTACAAAGTATGCCATCACCAAGGATGTGGCTGAACGCATAGACAGATGATGATACTAGATATTATGTTAATAAATCTGATATTTACTTTTAAATAATATGTGGTGACTGAAGGATTTTAGCAAGAAAGTGGTATGATGAGCTTTGCAAATCAAAGTCAACATTCAAGCAAGAGGCAGGGTAATATACTAGATGAGAACAAGACTAGAAGCAGAAAGACCAATAAGATATATAGATATAGATATATAGATACAGATTATTTTTGTTTTGTTTTTTGTCTTTTTGAGACAGGGTCTCGCTGTGGAGTTCAGGACAGCCTTGAGCTCACTTTGTAGCCCAAGCTGGTCTCGACATCACAACGATCCTCCTGCTCCTATGGTTTTGTTGTTGTTGTTGTTGTTTTTTGTCTTTTTGAGACAAGGTCTCACTAAGCACTTCAAACTGGCCTTGAGCTCACTTTGTAGCCCAGGCTGGTCTCGAACTCTCAATGATCCTCCTGCCTCAGCCTCCTGAGTGCTGTTATAGGCATGTGCTACCACACCTGGCCACCAATAAGATATTTGGTTCATGTAGACAATAATAGCAGTACAAATGCTTAGCATATGGCAAATATTGGGCCAACATATTTAGATCTTTTTTTTAACTATTTGTGGAACTCATACATAGTCTTCTTCATGTGTTGTGTTGTTCATCAGTCTCACCTAGGGTTTCATAAACAATACCATAGGCAAAGACTTTCTGAATAAAACCCCACTTGTGCAGGAAATAATACCAAGAATAAATAAATGAGATCTCATTAAATTAAAAGGTTTTTGCACAGAAAAGTCAGCCACCAACAAAGTGAACTGACAACCTACAGAATGAGAAAATAATTTTGCCAGCTATGCCTCAAAGGACTAACATCTAGAAGGTATAGAGAGCTCAAAATTATTAGAACCCCAAATTTAAAGACCCAGTAAAAACAGTGATCTGAATTGAATAGAGATTCCTCAAATGAAGAAATACAACTGGCCAATAAATATATGAAATAATGTTCAACACCACTAGCCATTCAAGAAATGCAAATTAAAACAACATTAGGATTTCATCTCACCCCGGAAAGAATGGCTACCATCCAATAACAATAACAAAAAACAACCAATAACAATCAATAACAAATGCTGGTGAGGCTGTGGGGAGAAACAAAACTTTCTTCATTGTTGGTGGGAATGTAACTGGTACAACCCTCTGGACATCAGTATAGAGATTCCTCAAAAAACTAAAGATACAATTCCCAGCTGGGCATGGTGGTGCACGCCTGTAATCCCAGCACTAGGGAGGCTTAGGCAGGAGGATCACTGTGAGTTCAAGGCCAGCCTGGGCTACAAAGTGAACTCAAGGCCAGCCTGAACTGCATAGTGAGACTCTGTCTCAAAAAAGTAAAAATAGAAATCCCATTTAACCCTGTTAATTCTCTTTTAGGTATCTTTCCAAAAGAGTTAGAATCACACCACAGTGATATATATGTGCACATGTTAATAGCAACACAATTTGCAATAGCTAAATCTTGAAAACAGCCCATTCATCAACAGATGAATGGATAAAAAGCAAGTGGTATTTACATACAGTACAGTACTACTCTGCCATTAAAAAGACAAACGAGGCATTTGTAGAAAAATGTGTACACCTTGAGACCATAATCTTAAGTGAAGCAAATCAGACAGACAAACTTGAACATTGTATGGCTTCTCTTGTATGAAAAAGTTAATAGGAGAATAGAGAGAAAAAACTTATTTTATTTGAAGTATGTTTCTGCTGTCATCTGATTTCATTGCAATATGGTATGAAAACTCATCTCACAGAATTTCCGTTTCTTTGGATTTGTTAAGGTCCTTATTGTTGCTGTGAGTTGGTCTATTTTGAATTTTAAAAAACCCTGGAAAAAACGAAGGATAAAGAAAACTTCTTCACATTTTGACTTTATATCCATGTATCTTGATGAATGCTGTTATTACTTATAATTTATTAATTCACTTGGTTTTGTTATGTCAACATTCATATAATCTAATAGCAATTGTTTTCCCTTCTTTTCAGTGTTTCAACCTATTGTTTTTGTCCAGAACTTGCAGAAAAATCTTGATTAGTACTTATAGCAGTATGCATCATCTTATTTTCTGAATTTTTGATATTACACCTTTTAGTATCTTTCTTGCTGAATATTTTGTTAAAGGTAGTGTCTATTTATAGCTTGTAAATTTCTGTATTTTAAAAATTACCAGTAAGTATTGAATTTATTTAAAAAATATGATATCTGGCTCTTACCCTCAGACATACAGATGTCTTTGGTATATATTGAAACTTACACATCAGAATTTTTAAAAGGGCCTCAAATGATTCTTGTTGCAGTAAAGGAGGGGGCTCGTGTACCCTTTTATTCTTTCTAATTATTGTGAAAATTTAAGTCCCATCCTAGACAGCTGTATCTAATCTTTGCCCATATTTTTCTTTTTGAGACACAATGCCACTCTACAGTCCTGGCTGATGAACTCACTATGTAGACCAGGCTGGCCTCAAACTCACAGCAATCCTCCTGCCTCAGTCTTGCAAGTGTGTCACCTTGCCTAGCCCTTCACTTTTTTGTATATGTAATTTCAACTTTACTTTTTCCACTATCACTTCTCTGAATATAATTTAAAAATTCTGTCTGGTATCCTGACCTCTTTCTTGTGAGGTCTAATTCTATTCTGTTCACTCCACTCAGGAAAGTTAACAACTAATGCTATACATAGATGTACCTATCAAACTCCATGTATCTAGAACTGATCTAATATAAGTGAGACCTATCCTATCATCTATGAAGAAAAAACTGAACACATATTTAAATGAGTAGCAACACCCATGGGAAAGGGTGTGTCCCATCTTTTCTTTGATTGCAAATCTCTTCTTTTGCTTTCCCCACCCTGAAATGTGTCTTAAATCAGTTTTCCCCATTCTTTCTCTCACTATTGTCATAGTCCTTTATTGGAGGAGTCCTACTGTGTGAGAATATACATCTGAACATCTGTCTTGTGAATGCTGGCCTCTGAGGATGTTTTGTCTGCATTCTTACTTATATGGTGAAGTCTTCTGAGAATACTGGTAAGTATGACCTTAGGGACTAAAACCAATGTGGGATTACAAAATTTAACATATGCATGAAAATGTGCATCGAGAGGGACCAAAGGGGAAAGACGGTGATTGTTTCCAACTATTTATTAGTTGTTACTTCTGGGCAAGGAAGTGAGCCCACAGGTGGAGAATGTTTAAGACCCATCCTCATTGATTTTTAGGCTTTGAGGGTCACTTTCATATTAATTTACACAACTCTGGAGGAACAAGTCCAAAGCTCTTAGGAGAAAGAAAGCTAAAAGAAAAATCATTATATTTGTGTTATAATTTCAACCAAATGTACACTAACAAATAAAGAAATTGAGGAATTTATAAATTACAGAACCTAAAATGTGAAAGTAGTTAAACTGAAAGGACAGGGGAAGGTGAGGATTCTTCAGACTGTGGCTGGGGAGGTGATTATGCTTGATATGCAAGGAAGATTGTATAAGCCATCACCTCTTGCCTCTGAGTTCTCAAAATATTGATCTATTCACCTAAAGTGACAGCTCTATTGATCAGGGACCTTGCTTGTGCTATTATTTTTCCGCATATCTGTGAGCACCAGAAACTCAATCATGCAAGAAATGTCTATTGAGTTAATAGTTCTTCATGTTGGCCCAAATACTTGTGACTATAATAGCAAAATATGAGGGTTTTAAAATATGTTGAACACTTATTTAGGCTTTTAGGAATGTAATTCAAGATATATACTAATTTCTATCTTTAGGATTGTAATAAAACAAAAAAGCTAATTTCCATCTAATCTGGCCACCAAGAAGTAACTATAGAAAAGTAAGACAAGCACATACTTTTGTTAATTGATGCACTTTATTTCTATAATATTTAAGATCTTTGGAGGTCAGGAAAGAATCCAACTTTGTTAGTTCTCTGCCACGCTTTGAATTTATTGTATAAACTAGGAAATGGCAGGATCCTTTTAATTGAAACAGAGACATGTAAGAGAGCTGGAAGAATAGAGAACACTTTTTTAGCTCCGCGCTTGCTTAGGCGAACTAAAGAAATGCTACTCCTACACTAAGCCACACTACCCTGGAATTTAGCTGGGAGGCCAAACTATGGAAGAAAGGTTGCCATCATCCTCCCCACTGAACTTCTGCTCTCTCTCCTTAACTGGGTCTATAGGAAGGGGATGAAGCAGGAGTTGGAGAACAGTGCAGAGTGCCCAGGTGTGATACAAAGATGCCACACTCTCTTCTACAAAGCAATGGCTTCAGTGGCCTGGACTCCTCAGGGTTTCTTGTTTTAATAATTTAGTAGTCACTTGACTTCAAAATGACTGCAAGGCAACAGAGATTTTAAGTTAACTGAATTTTCAAGGTGGATGTGGACTCTTTAGAGTCCTAGGAATAGAAATTATTCCATTTACCTTCTAGGCGCCTGGAAGGAGGGCCCCCGGTGCCCAGGAAGCCACGAGGCGGGGAGCGCTGGCCCTAGGGCTGGCTCCCAGCCTAACAGGCACCCGGGAGGAGGGGCTCTGGTGCACAGGAAGCCACTCAGTTGAGAACTGCCATGACACAGAGAAACAACGACACAATTAGCCCATGCACCAGCTACAGATGCCCACCCATGGACATGTGTGAATCATTCAAATATGGAGAAACCCCAGGGAATACATGCCATACAACGGGTTACTCTTGCTCTTGCCATTGAGAACCAGAAAGGTCCAAAGTCAGTGGAGGAGCAGCTGCTGAACAAGGACTCGGAGAACATGAGAATACAGACTAAGCCCGAGGAGTCAGAGGTCCTGTGGACTCGGGTCATGAGAGCCGTTCAGAAGCTGTAAACTAGGAGGACCTTGCACAATACCTGCAGAGACTCCTTGGAAGCCATTCTTCCCCTGACAGTACAGGCTGTGGTGGACCTCCGGAGGGGTCTGCAGCAAGATTCCTGCTACCTGTGCTGACAGTTGGGGAGAGGACACTAACTGGTTGTGGGGTCCCAATG